AATGAGGTAGATCCTTGTACGATAATCAATTAAAATGACCGCTGTACCTAGCTATAAAAATAAAAATGTAACATTGGCATCAATGTCAAGGACATGACAAAGTACCAATGTTTGTAAATGCACATACGTCAACACTTCACTATCGAATGTAAATAAAGGCGTCCCCTTTATTTATTAGTCTGAGGAGGTTACATGTTTACATTGTGTACTGAAATAGGGAATGCGGCCTCCCCTTTACTTATTACTCTGAGGTGTCAACACAAAAGCGCCATTCAACACGGTGTTACCCATGACTAGTTTGGAGCCGCTGCAGCGGATAGTGGTCGATGGGACGATGGCCGATGCACTTCTTTACAATCCTGAAGCAAAGTGGATCGCAAATATGTCCCATATAAAAAAATTAATCTTACCATTAAGTAAAATATTTGCAGTTTCAACGTCTACGTTTACTAAAACATATGTGCCTCTAAAGTTTAAATTTAAACTGACCACTTCCACAGCCGTATCAGAATCCATCATTTTGCTGAACGATTTTTATCCTCATTCAAACTAAATGTAAAAAAAAGGTTAAGTTACCGGCTGACAATACTAGTTGAATATACCCAAGGATATTTATAATACATGTGTATGTGGTCTATTTGTTGATTTCGGTTGTCATTGTAATTTCCGAAGTTAGGTTGTAAACATTTTATTAATTTATTCCAATTTATTCTAAAATGGCTCGAAGTTGTGTTTTGTGCAATAAGATGAAGAGCGACGAAACAACGTTGCATTTGTAAGTACCTAATAAATAAAATGGGTAATTATTTACTTTAGTGGCACCACCTCCAATTTTCACAAAATTTTGTCAACCCCCCTATTTTCGATGGTGCTGAACACGAATCTGAAGTTTTTTTTGTGCGGTCGAACCCAGTTTTTGAGAAAAAAATTTTTCAAAATTCTAACCTGAATATTTCAGATAACACTACGTAGAACTCTGTATATTTTATGTAGCTTTCAGAACATCTGTAATAAACAATGAACATTGTTTAAGAAACACATTTTCCCAAATTTGAACTAAAAAAAATATGTATTTAATAAATAAAATTATAGTAACTTTATGTGGGATGAACAGAGTTGAATGAGAGTGGGGGAACTCAATGTTGTCATCACGAATTACAAATGGCGGATTCAAACTACAAAATTTTTATTTATTAAATACATATCTTTTTACTTGAAATTTACGAAAATGTGTTTCGTGAACAGTGTTAATTGTTCATAACAGATGTTCTGGAAAGCTACATAAAATATACAGAGTTCTACGTAGTGTTATCTGAAATATCCAGGTTAGAATTTTGAAAAATTTTTTTCTCGAAAACTAGGTTCGACCGCACAAAAAAAACTGCAGATTCGTGTTCAGCACCATCGAAAATAGGGGGGTAGACAAAATTTCGTGAAAATTGGAGGTGGTGCCACTAAAGTAAATAATTACCAAAAGAAGATTCATGACCTTAAGTCTAGAAATTTTTTGATTAGGTCTGCAAATGAAAAGAATTCATATAATCTACAATCTCATAAAATACCAACAAAATGACAATTTCAGTTTTTAATTGTCAGATAATTAGAGCAATGTGAGCAAGTTTGAATTTGTGATATGCGACTCCATCATTTGCAGCGGAATTCACAGATTTCCATGTTTTTTTTGACTGGTTAAGTATATTTGCAGATTTCCAAAACAGACGGCATTGCTAGCCCAATGGAAAAAAGCATGTAAATTTGCATATTGTGATAATGTCAGCACACTGAGGATCTGCTCAACACATTTTCAACCTCATGAGTATATTCAATATAGTAGATGTGGAAAACGTCCTGGTGTCATTAAACGTTTACATCCTAATGCAGTTCCATCTGTTAATATTCCATATAATAGAGAAAATATGACTCCAAATGCTCCATCAGGTAATATATTTCTAGTATGTGTGTTTGTTCAGGTGCATGTGTTTACCAAAAAATATTGCGAGCTTCATGCGTTTAAATAAAATGCATCATAAATTTTTGTACGGGTACTACCCTAAGCTTGACCCCGGGTGATACAGAAAAAAGTACATATGGTATTTACAAATTTGCACAACTTAAACTTCTCCAGTTCACGATTATGATTTTAAATTGTTTATTAAACATTTTGGAGAGTGCAGAGATTGTTTGTAATGTTTAAATTGTTGTAGAATTTATATTGACATCTCAAACTGACACTGTAGAAGGACCTGCAAAGAAACAAAAATTGAATGAACATTTATTTCAAGCTATAACAGACCAACCTTCAACTTCTATGTCCCAGGAAATCATGCAGATATCAACTCCAAAATCATCTGAAACAATTCAAGTTTCTAGTCCCGAAGTTGCAACACCAGAACGAGCCAGAAGGGCTCTTTTTCAAGCTCGATTTGTACAATCTCAACTAAGATACGAAGTTAAAAAATTACAGCAAGATAAGCGACGCCTTACCAAAAGAATTTCCACATTACAGGATCTTGTTCGAGTACTAAGGAAAAAGCTACAGGAGCAAACACCGTCAACTGACGAGTGTGAAGTTATCCACATCCACATTTTCTAGTAGGACTGGAATTGATAAAAGTCGTCGCCTCAAAAATTTTGTAAAAAAAATCATTGCTCCTTTATAATGTGTCTTCGACTTTTTATTTTAGCATATGTCGGTAGCAAATGAGTAATTATAATGAGCAACGATTACAGATTAATTCGTCATCCCGTATGGGGGATGAAATGAAAATTTCTTAAAAGACTTTCTTGTTTTGTTATTACTTAATTACGTAATTCACCATAGATCGACAGGAAATAAAAATTACATTAATTAACAGTGTCACATTCATTTGTCAGTCCGTAGGGGGGATGAAATGGGGTGAATTTCATAAAAAAAATTCATTGCTTCGTTATAACGTGTTTTCTAGTTTTCATTTCACCCTAGATCGACAGGAAATAAAAAATTACATTAATTAACAGTGTCTCATTCATTTGTCAGCCCGTACGGGGGGATGAAATGTGGTGAATTTCATAAAAAAAATTCATTGCTTCGTTATAACGTGTCTTCGAGTTTTCATTTCACCATAGATCGCCAGGAAATAAAAAATTACATATTTGTCAGCCCGTACGGAGGGATGAAATGGGGTGAATTTCACAAAAAAATTAATTGCTTCCTTATAAATTGTCTTCGAGTTTTCATTTCACCATAGATCGACAGGAAATAAAAAATTACACTAATTAACAGTGTCACATTCATTTGTCAGACCGTACGGGGGATGAAATGGGGTGAATTTCATAAAAAAATTCATTGCTTCGTTATAACGTGTCTTCAAGTTTTCATTTCACCCTAGATCGACAGGAAATAAAAAATTACATTAATTAACAGTGTCTCATTCATTTGTCAGCCTGTACGGAGGGATGAAATGGGGTGAATTCCATAAAAAAATTAATTGCTTCGTTATAACGTGTCTTCGAGTTTTCATTTCACCATAGATCGACAGGAAATAAAAAATTACATTAATTAACAGTGTCTCATTCATTTGTCAGCCTGTACGGAGGGATGAAATGGGGTGAATTCCATAAAAAAATTAATTGCTTCGTTATAACGTGTCTTCGAGTTTTCATTTCACCATAGATCGACAGGAAATAAAAAATTATATTAATTAGTAGTGTCACATTCATTTGTCAGCCCATACGGGAGGATGAAATGGGGTGAATTTCATAAAAAAATTAATTGCTTCGTTATAACGTGTCTTTGAGTTTTCATTTCACCATAGATCGACAGGAAATAAAAAATTACATTAATTAACAGTATCACATTCATTTGTCAGCCCATACTGAGGGATGAAATGGGGTGAATTTCACAAACAAATTAATTGCTTCGTTATAACGTGTCTTCGAGTTTTCATTTCACCATAGATCGACAGGAAATAAAAAATTACATTAATTAACAGTATCACATTCATTTGTCAGCCCGTACGGAGGGATGAAATGGGGTGAATTTCACAAAAAAATTAATTGCTTCCTTATAACGTGTCTTTGAGTTTTCATTTCACCATAGATCAACAGGAAATAAAAAAATTACACTAATTAACAGGGTCACATTCATTTGTCAGCCCGTACGGGGGGATGAAATGGGGTGAATTTCATAAAAAAAATTCATTGCTTCGTTATAACGTGTCTTCGAGTTTTCATTTCACCATAGATCGACAGGAAATTAAAAATTACATTAATTAACAGTATCACATTCATTTGTCAGCCCGTACGGAGGGATGAAATGGAGTGAATTTCACAAAAAAATTAATTACTTCCTTATAACGTGTCATCGAGTTTTCATTTCACCATAAATCGATAGGAAATAAAAAATTACACTAATTAACAGTGTCACATTCATTTGTCAGCCCATACGGGGGGGAAGAAATGTATTGAATTTCATAAAAAAAACTTCATTGCTTTGTTATAACGTGTCTTCGAGTTTTCATTTCACCATAGATCGACAGGAAATAAAAAATTACACTAGTTAACAGTGTCACATTCATTTGTCAGCCCGTACGGGGGGATGAAATGGGGTGAATTTCATAAAAAAATTAAATGCTTGGTTATAACATGTCTTCGAGTTTTCATTTCACCATAGATCGACAGGAAATAAAAAATTACATTAATTAGTAGTGTCACATTCATTTTTCGAATTTTCATTTCACCATAGATCGACAGGAAATAAAAAATTACATTAATTAGTAGTGTCACATTCATTTGTCAGCCCATATGGGGGGATGAAATGGGGTGAATTTCATAAAAAAAATTAATTGCTTTGTTATAACGTGTCTTCAAGTTTTCATTTCACCATAGATCGACAGGAAATAAAAAATTACAGTAGTTAACAGTGTCACATTCATTTGTCAGCCTGTACGGGGGGATGAAATGGGGTGAATTTCATAAAAAAAATTCATTGCTTCGTTATAAGGTGTCTTCGAATTTTCACTTCACCATAGATCGACAGGAAATAAAAAATAGTAAATAGTAGCTAGTAAAAGTTGACTAAAGTGCGCAACGAAAATGGCGATAATGTGCAGCTTATGGGCGCCTATCGGTTAACGCAAGCATATACACGTGCGCTGGCTGTTAATCATTCGTTTTCTCTGCTCAAGCTTTCATGTGAATTTATCAGTATATAGAGTTTGTTAACTTTATTTTGCAAGTAGCACATATACTTGTGTCAATAATAATATCTTTATTTTATCCGAGAATACTTTCAGTTTCATTTGGAGTAATATTTTGAGTTCGTTTATTTTACTTTTATAGTTTTACTTTCTACAATATTTTTATTTTTCAATTAATAATCGTGTTTCATTTTGGATACGGAAATATTTTGAGTTCGTTTATTTTACTTTTATAGTTCTACTTACTACAATATTTTTATTTTCACTTAAGAATCGTGTTTCATTTTGGATACGGAAACATTTTGAGTTCGTTTGTTTTACTTTCTACAATATTTTTATTTTTCACTTAAGAATCGTTTTTCATTTTGGATACGGAAATATTTTGAGTTTGATTTATTGAATAGAAATATTTTAAGTTAATAAATATTTTCTTTTGTATTTTTTAAACCTACGAGGGAAATACAACTATCAGTTGAAACCAATATGGGACGAAAACCTAGTTTCGACATAGACCATTTGATAGGATTCTTAAAAGGAAAGCTGCTTGCTGAGGACATAGCAAAACTGACGCCAAGTATAATATTATAATTGCTGTGTGGCAGTATGTTTTCCATTGTTTAGATTACAACAAAAATGTTATCTCATTTTAATGACTATTAAAAGAAATGAAGATAAGTTTATTTCTGATTGTAAAAATAGTGTCAGCTGCAAAACAGAGAAAGTTGACAGAACAGATCTTATAGAATGGCTATTATAAATTTTGTGAATAGTCGTAACTTAAACCAATCCACGATGAGAAGCATATCTGCTTCATTAAAAAAGGTTTTATAAATTAAAAATAACTACCGGAATCGCTATAGAGTCCAGAAACAGTCTCAAACATTGTTTAAGGATTTTACAAACAAAAATTTGACGAAGGTATCTTCAAACGCAGAGGAAAATTTCTCTGATGAGGAAAGTGTAACCATTACCAGTGACAGTAGTCGTAACTTAGAGCCATCCAATAAAATTAATATAATATCTAACTACTTAATTCCCGAAGAGTTACGAGTTAATCTAAATTTGTTCCTTCCTAATTTTAATTCAACCTGTATACAGGAGGATTTTAGGAGCCACCAGATAATAAAAGAATCTTCCGAAAACAGTACTAAAAGTACAGACGTTGTGTCCACAGACACCGATTCTTTTCATTTACATCGAACCAGTATACAAAACACTTCCCGAGCAATCGAAAAATTTAAAATTATTGCAGTGGGACAAGCCCACTTATAAAGACTGTAAACACTTGGAAGGGAGTTTCGGTCGAGTTTCAGTCACAAAGAACTACTGACCATAATAGACAATAATAACCGTTTAGTCGTTGGAAGGTGGCCTTTTGTATTAAATGAAAAAATTAAAGTTGTCAGTGTGTGTGTAATCAATTTTAAACACTTCAGATGCACACCCACAAAAGATGCAGTAAAAATTTACGCTTACTGTGCTCATCCCTGCAAGGTATTTATTATATCTATAAATAATTATATCTAATAATTGTACCCATGCAGTCACTGTTCTTAGTTCTTCCGCTGATTACAACCACTTGGGTAAATTAACAAGGCAGGTAAGGGGCAACGAAAGAAAAATCATTAGAAAATATTCTAAGCACACAAATCCATTGAAACTAGGACAGACTGGAATTAAGAGATCATCTGGAAAACTCATAAAGGCAGGGAATTTGCAACATATCAAATCAGACGCTGTTCTGCGAAAGGTGCGATCTGAACAATTTGCAATACACGACAGACATCAAGATGATTTAATCGACCTTTTACTAATGCAACGATTCAATATGTCGTATATGCAGGTTGTTGGTCAACCCTTACACCTTTATATCTACAGCAATTGGAGATATTATTCAAATGTTCGCCAGAAGTAGTTCACATAGATGCGACGGGCAGCATTATTCGCAATTCGCAATTCGCAATCCTCAGACGTGCACTAAAAGAGTATATTATTATGCAGTAGTCATTAAAACTACTTTTAATAAAAGAGTTTGTCCCGTACTGGAAATGGTGAATTGCAATCATGACGTTACGTCTATTGGTTTATGGCTCGCCAAATTTATATCATATGCAATTACCAATAAAAAGAAATGGCCAATATTTACAAAAGTTGTATCAGACTTTAGCTTCGCGATAATTAATGCAGTGTGTTTGTTTTGGAATAACATGGACATAAAGACTTACCTGCATTTAACCTATGATTTTATAACAACCAAGGACTCAAATGTGCTTAAAGATGTGATAAAAATCCATATATGTTGTTCTCACTTTTTCAAAATCATTGCCAACGACATTAAGAAATATTTTAAAGACAAGTCTGTCCATAAATTCTTTAAAGAAATAATGGCTGCCATTTTTTCATTTTCGGATTTTTATATACTTTGCACTTGGTTCAAACATTTTACCGTGGTCATGATATCGGAATTTAATTGCAGCAAAGTAACTGATTCCATACAAATTTTAATTTCGTTGTCTCTTCACAGAAGTGGTCTGGATGAATTGGAAAACGAAAACGAGAACACCGAAGAATTGCCATTCGAATATGAAAGAGACTCAATTTATACTAGTAGTCTGTGTTATAAGACATTTTATAAAATATATGAAACCGTTATTCTGGCCGAAAATACTTGTGAAGTTTCGGATAAGCGCAATCCCTATTATAATCCAGATTTCTACAGTCTAGCATTAAAAAAGTATTTTCCGTATTTACCAATGTGGGGTGGATTTTTATTGGATGAAAAGAGGATGAGCAACGCCGATGTGGAAAACTGGTTTTCGGTAGTCAAAAATATATTATTAAAAGGACAACGCAATCAAAAAACCACACGTGTGTTATCTATTCACAAAGAAGTTATGCTAAATATCCCAAAAAGTAACTGTTCCCGACGAATTATAAACAGGAATTACCATGAAGAAAATAAAATTATTCGCGATTTAACCTCCGAAGAGCAATGGTCAAAAAGTTGCCATATAAATCAAGTAACTTCAAGGGGGTTCATTTAAAGCGCACTTTAAAAAAATTAAATATACAACCAGATATATCTTCCGGCCTTGTCAAACGCAAAAATGTGTCTAAATATGAAAACGAACAATTGATGATATTGCCAAATGGATTATTACCGCATGAAAATTATTATAAAAAATGTGATGCGTATAGGAATTACACTGTATGCAAGTA